AACTGTGAGAATATAGCTTTTACTTGTGCAATAACACTTACAAAAGGAAAACCACTTTTGCTCTATTCTGTTTTTCAAAAGACTAATTGAAAAAAACCCTACCTTGTGCTGCTGCAACTACTTTCCTAGACTCTTCGATCGCTGGCACAGTTTTCAAGCAGTCCTGATCTTTATTCCAAAGGAACAGCTCTCCTGTTGTAAGTATTCCTGCCAACCAAGCACCTGTGTTCATCAGGGGAGAGATGTTTTGAAGGATATTATTGTGAAGTATATAAGATTACTTCCCTTCCATCGTAGCCACAGTTCTAAAGCTGACAGTGAACTGACAGATCCTTTAGATATTCTATCTTTCTAAACTGTTAAAACTACAAATAAAATGAGTTTATAATCCATAAAATGTTATACTTAACCATTTCTTGATGTTGTTAAAACAACTACATTTTTCAATAGTGACTGCAGCCGAGGGATCTTCCTCTTTGTCTTCCCTGATGCCAGGTTAATTTCATTTATACGTTTATCATCTAGGAGAAAAATAGCCTCTTTTTCCTGTTGAACAAAAAAAAAGCATTTCATTTTTTAAAATGATATTTTCTATGTAGGCTTGCAAAATAATGCAGAGATAAAAAATGTTAGGGAAAAATAATTAGAAAAACAAAAAAAAGAAAACATGTTACAGCTGCAATTACCATCTTAACTTCATTCTTTGGCATATTTGTTTTACAGTACAACATCATATCTAGCATCCACCTACACTGATGATGAATTTGGTTCACAGGTTTCAAACTATCAAACTAATTTTACAATCATTATTAAAAAGCTCTTTGAAATATCTCAACTGAACTACCTGCCAACAAATGACAACACAACAACAACAGAGACTCTAGTTATTTCGTCTTGTAGTGTTTAATTTAGTGAGATTTTTGCCAGTGATTTCAACAGAAGAAGGAATTGGCCTTAAAAGGTTACCTACTTAAATCATACATCAGAAAAGAAGGAAAAAAAAATTTAGCCTCATTATATCAAAAAAGCTTAGAAAGCGTGTCTTTCAACAGATGCAAGATGGAATGGGAAAAAAATTTTGTTCACCACTTCCAACACTGTACTGTAAAAAAGGTTATGACAAACTAGAACCATCAAAACAAGAATCTCACATAAGGGACAAGTCGTTGGGGCGGGGGGAGGGAGAGACTCCCCATTGTTTATCTGAGAAATTCTCGATCTCCAACCTCAAGTCAGTAAGACAGAAAAAGCAGCCATTTATTTCAATAACTCTTAAGTGGGGTACCTTCAAATAACTTCTTGAGGCTTCTTTTACCCCCCCTCCCTGTAAATGGAAGTACAAAGTATTATATAATTAAAACCCCTACTCTTTGCAGAGTTCTATTTAAACAAAATTTCATTACACTTACCTGTCCAATCCACGAGATGCGAGGCCATGGTTTTCTTTGCTTGATACACATAGAGACCAGAACATCTAACTTAATCTCCATTTTTAATAAGCCTCTAGGTAATGATTATAAAGAAAAGCAAGTAGAGGCTTTTTCACATATCCATACAGTATCTGAAGAAAGAACAAAAAATACAGGAAGTTTTTATTATTTGGGTGGGAGTAGAAGATGGGAATCTAGACACAAACTCTTAACTACAGCAGCTTCCTGCTAAACACAAGCAGACCTGATGCTTGCCTGTATTTCCAAACTAAAACAGCGATTTTCATTCATGTAGCTCACAGGCTATTTGCAGTTCAGCCGTACAGACACGCATGCTTGTTCCAGAAGGAGCTGAGAGAAAGGAGCCACAAGACAAATTACCATGCCAGAACTCTGGTAAGAACGCAGAAAGCGAGGAAAACACACTGAGGCCTCCTAAGCGCAAGAGGTGGGAAACTCAAGCAAAATGCCAGCTGGGCTCCTTGGGCACAGAGGGCCGGCTACGTCTCAGACCCGAGGCCAGGCAGCGGGCGGGGGCGGGAGGAGGGCATCCCCGCCTCGGAGCCACCTCAGGCGGCGGGGTGACAGAACGCGGTACGCCCCACCACCCAAGGGGGCCGGTGACGGCCGCCAGCCTGCTGCCTCACGTTTCGGGCGATTTCCTCGGGCGGCGGCACAGTCCCCGAAGCCAAGCCGAGCGCAGGCAACCCGCTTACCTTACCCCTGCGGAGACAGTGAGGGAGGGAACGGACTTCCCTTCGCCCCTCCGGGCGCCATCCTCAAGAATTCCACCGCCACTGTTGCCCGAGTCTGGGCAGAGACGGCCCCTCAGGCTAACTGCGGCCCTCAGGGCACAGGCCGAAGGAGACGGTGCGTGCCCAAAGCGATGCTCGCCGCACTCGGCAGAGCCAGGGCGCCGCCGGGCCGCCGCACCGCCCAGGAGCCCC